ACTCTTATTTTGGTTAAAATGATGATCATATTTAGTGATCACAGCGATAAATAGCTGGGTATCAGACAACGGTCTGATACTGGACGAATGCATGGCAATAGCATAAGATTCAGTAGGGTATACCTTCTCCAAAATATCCGTGCAAACATGGCTAAGTTGTGAATACAAGAACAGCCTCAATCTAGAAAATACATGGAAGCTAAAACCCAAGTATAAACCATAAAATATTAGATGTATTTAGTCTATTTCGTAGTCGAAACCAAAATTATGAACATAAAATATTAGAAGGTATAAAGACCAAGATGGTGCGGCTTTTTATATGGTCGCGGCCACCTTTCGTTGTATAGAAGTTGTTTGGCTTTGTTTTCGCAACTTGGTCGTATTGGTAGGAAGACCTAGAGGAATGCACTATGTCCAGAGTCCATAGTATGCACGATAATCTCCCGTCTGACCGTGGAATTTGTACATTCCCAGATGTTTGACCGGAATCATCAATGAGCCTTGCTAATCTTAGCACCAAACTACAACTCGTCAAAGAGACAAGTGAAGTCGATCCTCTGACCAATTGTTTGCTAAACAGTTGTGGTATCTCTTCTATCCTATTTCCTCGTGTCGCCCCTTCACTATCACAATTTCTTGCCTATTTATATGTGGTATGGTGTGTGCTTTTGAGCAGATTTCATGAACCTCTTAACACTCCATCTTTGTGCTAGAATGTTGACATTGTTCTGCAATCCTCCTACCCTGGGTCATATCAGTCTCCCTCTTGGCATGTAGGAACTATCTCTGATCTATCTGATTCAAGGATTTCATTTGATCACTGCAAATCCAGGCATTATTTCCTATGCTTTGCCTCAAGCCTTTAATGGCAGGTATACGCCCGCCTCATTGGGCAGCCCCACAGTATGGATTATCAAGCTGGATGGAAGGATAACTTGAGGCTATAGAGCCTCTGATTACCGTTCGACATTTGCACCTAGTACTTCTCATGGTCAGGCCTTTGATTCAGGGATGACGGCTATGATCAAGCACATCTACTACTATTTTTTGTTTATAAGCAGAATTTCGAGACTACCAGTAAATCAGTTATATGAAATGCATTCACTTCATTTCTTTTAAGATGATGAAGGACTGGTAGTTGAGTTTTCCCACAATGATGAGTAGAGCTGACGTTTCCATTGAATTTCACAGAGCCCTGCTTTCCAAAAAGTTGTTCTCATCCATGGTGGACTGCAGTTTCGACCTCGCCTAGATATTATCAATATCTGGGGAAGCATTGCTATGTAAAATTCAATGAAAACGTCGGCTCTACTCATATCATTGTGGGAAAATTCAAATAACAGTTCTTCATCACCTTAAAGGAAATAGGGCAAATACATCTCATATAACGTCTACTGTTAGTCAACTAACTATAGTCTCCGCCGCATCTATCATGCTTCTATCCACAATGCAGCCCGTGACTTCCTATCCCCTGGTCTTTTGTATGCCAATCCTCAAATACTGTGGTTCTACTTGTTTTGATTAGGCTCACTATGACGTCTGATATTGATTTCCGAATGTTCCTCTGGTCTCCCTGCGATTTCTTTTTCTAAGATAAAAATATTACCTTGATCCAGTCGTCTTCCTTTTGCTGTTGCCTGATCTTCTCTGAGCTTGTTTAGGCAATATGCAAAGTTTTAACTGATCCTGCCTTGTACAAATCTCCTGTTCATTAGGTTTATTTCAATCAGGATATCGATGGTTTCTCGTATTCTGCGTTTTTTTGTATCCTCACCATATACAGCCAGCCATTCCGTCGATTTTGTGTCCACGCCATCTTGGTCTTCATACATTAGGTTAACGAGATAGTTATAAGAGAAGCGGACAGATTATCTAGAACATGACATACAAGCCTAGCCAAAAGGACCAAAGGGAACGGAATAAAAATAGAGAACGATAGATTCGAAAGAGTGATTCTGCTTAACAAACAGCAAGTGCATTGATCATGGCTTTTGAGCTGTCTTCGATGAGGCTATCGTACATATACTATCATTCATTAGAGGCTATTCATGTAATTAATTCCCAGATTAAAGCAAATACGGTGGCTGAATGTAGTTAAGATTCTAGGTAAGTCATAGATTCAAGGGAACATGAGGATGAGAATATGAGATTACGAAAGAGATTGCTAAGTGTAGGTATCAAGAAGCTAATTGGAGAAGGGATATCGGCGATGATGATAACTGCGCCTTGATGAATCCACTTAAAGACACGCATATAAGGAATTTATCGGAACAAGCGATTAAAAAAATTAGGAGAGTAGGCTCAGCAATCTGACGTAGAAATAAGTGATAAGGATACAATAATAGAAATTAGGAAATGTGGTGGGTAAAAAGGGGATAGTAGAGAAATGCCACAACTTGTAAACAGACGATTGGTCATCGTTTTTGACTTTACTTGTTAATTTGACGAGCTAGCTCAATCATAAGGATAGCGCTACTCACTGAAGATGCTGATTACCATGCCAATGAAGCGTCCAATAATCTATCCCGTCAGCGCTTGAATGCTGGAAGATTATATAAAGGCGATGATATAGGATGCAGCACAGTAAATTCTTCAAAGTCCCCATGAGAAAATGAGTAAATTGCGAATGCAAGTTCAAGCAAATTCTAAGATTACTTAATCAAAACTTTGACCTCGTTTTCTCAACTTAGTCGTGTTTTGGGGCGACTTCAAGAACTTTTGTCTCTGATGAGTTGTAGCCTAGTGCAAGCCTACTGGCGATGTCGGCGAAGCGTTTGGAAATGTCTACAGGTCGATACTGCAAAGTATGGGCTATTATGGTTGAGGAGTCTAAATAAGGCACGTTCATTAAGGTCACTATGACTAGATGGAAATACGAAAACTAGGTCAAACATCTTAAGGTTACTTACTTAACTTTCCCAACGGTAGAGCTAGTCCAGATAAGGCAGCTTACGTTGGCCATCAATTCATTCGTCTTTCCGATTTGCCTAGACGAAGCAACTTGCAGAGTGTTAGTTTGCCCGAGCGGAGACTCAGCGTTGAGATCCGCAGACGTCGTTGCGGATACATCGGCCAGCTTGCTTGTCAGATGAGGTAAGGGAACGAGCTTGGCGGCAACTACAGATGTAACCTCTTTGTCATTCGCTAGATTGGAAGTGCCGGGTTGGACAGCTACGTTGGATACTGGTGCATCCACTAGTTCGTCAAGACTGCCAGCTTGTATGGGAAAGTCTGTGAACGGCTGACTGTGAGTTAGTGGGCCGCGTGTAGAGAAAGGACTGAGGGCGACCGACCCAGAATGATTGGAACCATCACGATCGATATGATCGGAAATAGTTTTACTCAAGGCGAATGAACAGGGCAGTGAGCGCCTGTTTCCATGGCCTGACTCCAGGGGTTTAGTTGATAAAGTAAGACCGAGAGTTGGATCGGTATTGTCTGGCTTCTTAGAGTATTAAATGGAGTTGGTCAAGAAGATAAAGC